TGCGTCTCTCTCGGTCTCTGTGTATATATATGTCAGCCCCCAAAGCAATCTTTTTTCTTTTGGAATCCAATTCAAGTTCCTACCGAGGCCCAATTACTTTTCTTTAGTTGGCTGCCTTTATTATTCTTCAATTTGAACCTTTGCACTCACAGGTTACTGACTGATTCCACATAAAAATCAAAAATCAAGGTCCATTTAGAGCCTGTTTGGGAGTGATTTTGAAAATTGATTTTTTGACCGTTAGGAGAAAAGTAGGGTTCACCTGTGAGAGAAGAAGTCAAATATGACGGCTAAAATAGTGAAATAACGGTCAAAAAATCAATTTTTTGGTAAAAAAATGAGGCCCAAACAGGCTCTTAATGTATTATTTTTTTCAAGCCCTCTTTTCTTTTAAAATAGTGCACTTTAGTCCTTCCTTTCCAATTGCTTCAAACAGGTTCGTCACTAAAAAATAAAAAAATAAAAAACCTAAGTTATATGGAAATTAATAATTTGACGACTTAAAAATTTAATAATGTGGTGTAAATAAATCCACAAATTACGCTTATCAGCTGACTTAACGCTATATCGCAGGAACAAGAGTTGTGAAGCATTTAAACCACACGATTTTAGCGTAGTTCGGGAGTGATGAAACTAGGCCCATGACATAGCGCACAAATTCTGATACCTTTCTATTTCAATAGTACCACAAGAGTATTTCTCAATTATTAGAACATAGATTAAGAGTTGAAATGGCGAATATACTAGGTAATTGTTTCCATCAGGTATGAAGCACACCAAATGATGCTTTACGGACTGTCATCCAGTCCTAGTCTCCCCTCTGACCAAAGGCCAAGACAGACGTGAGAAAAGAAAATTTTAGTACAAAATAGGTACAACTCATGGAGCATAGTAAGGAGGTTGACCTGGTGGTGAAATACCGCCAGGTAGCACATTTGACTGATGCATAGGCTGAGTAACCCTCATCGGTGGAGCACCAGAAGTGATATGGTTTGTTTGAGGAAGTGGTGAGGAACCAGGTGGAATTGCTGCAGAGGAATAAGCAGGAACTGAAGTTGATGCATATGTTTGACCAGGAAATGTGCTGGGACCAGACATGAAGGTTGGTCTACCTGTCTGCGACGCTGTATCCCACGACACTGGTGCCAGAGGAGACTGAACCGGTAAAGCACCCCCAGAAGCATAACCAATCCCAGGGCCGACCGAAGCTGCAGTACTATGTAGCCACCCAGAAGTTGGAGCAGGAACGCCCGGAGCTTGATGCATTGCAAGTGATTCAGGGACAGTGTAATCTCTACTTTTGTCACTGTATGCCTACAACATGCAGGCATGACCAATCAATTTTGTTATTAAGAGGTTAAAATGAGTATCAATTGAGAAGGCCATCAATAAGAACAAATTCAAGGAGAATTTTTTTCAGATCATGAACAAGCCGGTTTTTTTCTTTTTGTAGCAAAGAAGCCTTTATGTTAATTTCCCGTAGACATTTATCTCAAAAGCACATATTTATACCTTTACATTGAGATCAGTATGACGAGAGTATGATAGATGAAGCTTACAATAGCCACCATCATATATGCAATGACCCTCTAATGCATCTTTGGCAACAGCTGCAGTTGTGATATCTGTAAATAAAGCAAGTTGTGGCTCATTTAGTGAACCAAGTTTAATCTATAAGGATCGCATACAGATGAAATAATGCACTTCATATATGGAGTGCGTAGTAGACCAGTATTCACATGTACGTATTACACAATATCTACTCAAATATTCGTGGCATGGACACAAGGATATGGGATGTAGTAGCAGTGAAGTTGACGAGGACATCCAGTTTTAATTATTTTAGCAGTTTTAATTATTTTAGTTGGATTTAGGTTATTTTAATTTTATGGACTTGTGTATTGGGCTTGGCCCTAGGTTTGCAGTATTTTCCAGTATTTAAACCTATTTTACATTGTTATTTTTCGGTTGATGAATTGATTGAATTATAAAGTTGGCTTGCAGCCGTTTTTCTCTCCTCTTCCCCACCTCTGTTCTTCTTCTTCTCTCCCCTTCCCCCATCTCTTCTTATTATAGCTATTGAATCATTTATTCTACATCAAATTGGTATCAGAGCTAAAGTTGGGAAAACATTATAGCTTTTCATTCGTCTGCCTGCAATCCATAACTCACAGCACCTACTGAACACACGCCACAACCACTGGATGTGAAGAAGAGCTGTAAACCCAACCATAAAAAAAAACGTCCTTCCTGTCATCTTCTCAAACCGAGCCCCACATATTAATTTAAATTCCATTACAAACCTCAACCAAGTACACAGCCCCACGACCGCCAAACCTCCATTCAGCCGAACCCCAACTCAAACTCCATTCAACCGAATTCTCAACCGCCACCACAGCTTCACATCCTCTGTCGCCAGAACTCTGACGGCAATAGGGGGCAGAAGTGCGAAACCAGAAAACGCACCACCCAAGCCAGCCAGAGTTCACCAATCTTTCAGCCGTCGATTGCTAGTAGGCTGGCAACCCAAGTAATTGAGCCTCTCGTCCGACAGCACCGCGACTCCCACGCCGCCAGACAGTGCATCCAGAGACCGTGCAGTGGATATCAATGGGCAGGTTTATTTGTGTCAATCAGGTTTGGGCTTGGTTTATTTGTATCACTTGGGTTTGGACTTAATTTTAGTCGGGCTGAGTTATTTGTATCACTTGGGTTTGGGCTTGATTTCAATCAGGTTGGATCTATTAGTTATTGCTTGGGCTTGGGCTTGATTGAGATTTTGAGTGTGATTTAGATCCAAATTTGTGAAATGGGCTCATTTATTATTTTGTTGTTCTGATTTTGTATTATTAAAAAAAAAAATGAGTCAAAAAAAATCCAAAAAAAAATAATAATAATAAAAAATATTTTTTGAATTTTGAAAATTTCCTGACATTCTTTTATAGGTACATTATTTTCTTGACGAACATGGAATTTTCTATCTTGGCATCTCAGCGCTTAACAGATCAGAAAGTGGAGACATTCGACGCTAGGACGACTCAGGCCAACTGAACTCAGGGAGCCTCTGCTTCTATCTATTTTTAGTGACACTGTTACTGTATTTTAGAATTGCATCATTTAATTCTTTTTGTTGCTAATACTTGGATAATTTAGCCTTAAATCTATTGGATTGACATTCACGAGCCGACCCCATTATTCACTCATTTACCCCACGTGACTAGACCTAGCATTTGTACCTTTATTTTTTTATTTTATTGGCATTAGTGGTATTAGCTTGCGATTGGGCCATACGGAATCCCTACAATAAAATAAAATAATAATAATAACAATGGATAAATTTCAGTCACTATTTTCCCTGCTAGCACTCGTTGGTTGTTGATCTCAATAGACACTTCACCTAGCTTGCGTTACCGTGTATGCAATTGCGTAGTGGTCGTGTTACTGCCTCTAGCTCCAGTACCGTTGTCATGGACCCTTCCCACATTGAAGCCATCACCCGACAGTTGGCACAATTACAAAATCAATTAACGGCTGTCCAAACTGAGTTAGCCGCTACGTGCGAGGAGAATAGAGCCCTAACTGCTAGGGTAAACACTCTTGACCCAACCCAATACTCAACTGAGACTGAAAATTCTGACGCTTCCATTAATAGACCTCATCGTCGTCCACAAGGTGGTCGACACCATGCTAGACATGATCGTAGGGAAGGAAATCAAACTCGTGGGCGGGAGCATCAATATCACCGTCACGGTACACTGTCCCCCCCTCGCCACGAAGAGCGCCTCTTTCGAAATATTAAGTTAGATGCCCCTACATTTGATGGTTGTCTAGATCCCAGTGTATTCAATCAATGGGTTAGAGATATGGATCGTTTCTTTGCCTGGTATGGGGTCCCTGAAGATCAAAGGATACAATTTGCCAGTTTGAAATTGACTGGCACAGCTCAACTGTTTTGGGAAAGCGTTGAGGACCTCCTAGAGAGGCGCCATGCTCCCCCTGTTGGGAATTGGGATGAAATGAAACATCGCCTTGAAGAAAAATATTTACCTCAATCTTACAGGGGCAACTTGCTGGATCAATGGAACGCACTTACGCAAGGCAGTCGACCTGTGACCGAATATGTTGCTCAGTTTGACGAGTTTCGAATGAGATGTCAGGTCGTTGAGGATGAAGTCATGACTTTGAGTAGGTTTAGACAAGGCCTACGGGATGATCTTAGACGTGAGTTTGTTCTTAGGGATGTCACTACTCTTGACCACGCCTACTTTTTCGTTTGGGATTACGAGTTAGTGACTAGGACACCGTACAGAAGTCGTAGTGATTCCCGCACTGCAACCTCTTTTGCATCCACTCCATCCCCTAAGTCTATTCTAGGACCTCCTCCTTCTAATACTACCCCTACATCGGATAGTAAGCTAGAGGTTCTGAGGTTTCAAGAACGTCCTCTTGTTTACAATGCTTCAACTGTAAGGGTTTTGGTCACATTGCTTCTAAGTGTCCTAGCCGAGCCCCCTAGTTTTGGAAGAGCGTGAAGGTATAGTTGACGAGCCACTAGAGGATCAGGTGTATGAGCCTAAGTTAGAAGAGTTTGATGACTTGGAGGATAGTGAAGATACCTTCTTGGGATGTATCCAGTCTAGTCCCCTTACCCCACATACACTTAGAGTCGGTGTCGTCCATTGTACTCTTACCCAGCCGAGGGATGCCGATGATTGGCGCCGTCATGCCATCTTCCACACTTACATCAAGATTAATAATAAGGGCTGTAAAGTCATCGTGGATAGTGGCAGCTCCATTAATACGGTTTTAATGACTACTGTATCCCGTCTAGGGTTGAAGTCTGTTCCTCACCCTCAGCCATACAGCGTCTCTTGGGTTGATACCTCCTCCATAGCTGTTAAGGAGCGTTGTTTAGTCTCTATCCAGTTTCTCGAGTACAAGGACCATATATGGTGTGACGTTATTTCAATGGACGTCGGGCACATCATCTTGGGACGACCTTGGTTATTTGACCTAGATGTAACCATCTATGGTCGATCCAATTCCTGCTCCTTCGTGTTTAATGGAAAGAAGATTCACCTTAACCCACTGCCTCCAAAGCCTGTTGGCCCACTGGAAACGAAGAAAAGTGTGGAACGAAAGGGATTGCATATCATTAGTCCTACGGAATTTGAGCATACACTTGTTGGCAACTTAGTTGTCTTCGCTTTGGTGGTCATAGAGGTCCCATCACACTCCGCAATAGAGAGCCCTGTTGAAGTCCTATCGGTCCTCCAAGAGTTTCAAGACGTCTTTCCAGAGGACCTCCCTAATCATCTACCTCCACTAAGGGATATTCAACATGCCATAGACTTCGTTCCGGGGGCATCCCTCCCAAATTTGCCTCATTATAGGATGAATCCTACCGAACACGCTGAACTTCAAAGGCAAGTGGATGATCTCCTTCACAAGGGATTCATTCGTGAGAGTTTAAGCCCGTGTGCGATCCCCGCCCTATTGATGCCCAAAAAGGATGGCTCTTGGCGAATGTGTGTGGATAGTCGCGCGATCAATAGGATCACGGTGAAGTATCGTTTACCAATTCCTAGACTTGACGATATGTTAGATATGATGGTTGGTGCCACAATCTTTTCGAAGATTGATCTGAAGAGTGGATACCATCAAATTCGAATTCTCTCAGGTGATGAGTGGAAGACCGCGTCTAAGACGAAAGATGGTCTTTATGAATGGCTGGTCATGCCTTTTGGGCCGAGCAATGCGCCAAGTACCTTTATGCGAGTAATGATACAAACTCTACGACCTTTCATGGGCAAGTTTCTTGTCGTCTACTTTGATGATATCCTCATCTATAGTAAGACTAAGGAGCAACACCTTGACCACCTCACGCAAGTTTGCACCACCCTTCGTGCAACTAATCTATATGCGAATGTCAAGAAGTGCTCCTTCTTCACTGACACTGTCGTTTTTCTGGGGTTCATTGTCTCTTCGACAGGGGTATCCGCTGACCCTGCTAAGGTTCAGGCGATTATTGACTGGCCTAAGCCCAAAGTTATTCATAACGTCAAGAGCTTTCACGGCTTACCTACGTTCTACCGTCGCTTTATTAAGGGGTTTAGCACTATTATGGCGCCTATTACGGAGTGCATGAAGAAAGGGAAGTTTCATTGGACACGAGAGGCGGCTAAGGCCTTTAAGTTAGTCAAGAAGCGAATGACGGAAGCCCCTGTCGTGCGTCTTCCCGATTTTTCCAAAGTCTTTGAAGTTGAATGTGACGCCTCCAGGGTAGGTATAGGCGGAGTCTTAAGTCAGGATTGTTACCCTGTTGCCTATTTCAGTGAGAAGTTAATTGAGGCCAAGCAGCGGTACTCAACTTATGATATGGAACTGTATGCAGTGGTCCAGGCTTTGCGCTATTGGCGCCACTATTTGTTACCCCAGGAATTTGTTCTTTATTCAGATCACGAGACCTTCCGTTACGTCAACTCCCAAAAGAGATTAAGTTCCAGGCATGATCGTTGGGTCGAATATTTACAGGCCTATTCATTTGTTTTAAAACATAAGAAGGGCGTAGAGAACCAAGCAGCTGATGCGTTAAGTCATCGTGTCTCCCTTTTATCAATCATGAGTGTCAAGATCATCAGTTTTGAAAGACTTAAGGAGGATTACGAGGCATGTCCCGATTTTAAAGATATCTTCCTTGATTTACAAAGAGGACAATCAAGCACCACAGATGGCTTCCGACTTGAGGAGGGTTACCTCTTTAGAGCAAATAAATTATGCATCCCTCGAACTTCAGTGCACGATTTCATCGTGTGGAAAATTCATGCGAGAGGGTTAGCCGGTTATTTTGGACGTGATAAGACCATAGAGGAAGTTGAACGTCAATTCTATTGGCCTAACTTGAAGAAAGACGTGGCTAAAATTGTTAGTACTTGTAACACTTGTCAATTGAGTAAGCAGAAGAAGCAAAACACAGGTCTATACACCCCTCTCCCTGTCTCTAATTGTCCTTTGCACGATGTTAGTATGAATTTTGTGTTGGGACTTCCACGCACCCCTAAGAAGCATGACTCCATTTTTGTGGTTGTCAATCGCTTCTCAAAGATGGCTCATTTTATCCCCTGTAGCAAGACGTCGGATGCGTCCAAGGTCACCCTGTTATTCTTTAATGAAATTGTCAAATTGTATGGGCTTCCCAAGACCATTGTGTCTAATAGGGACGTTCGTTCCACTAGCCATTTTTGAAGAACCTTGTGGCACAAGATGGGTACCAAATTGAAATTTTCTACGGCCTATCACCCTCAGACTGACGGTCAAACTGAAGTAGTTAATCGAAGTCTTGGTAACCTATTACGTTGTCTGGTCCGAGAAAACCTTCGAAATTGGAATTTGATCCTTCCTGTAGCTCAAATTGCGTACAATAGCTCTATAAATCGTTCACTAGGTATGAGTCCATTTGAAGCCGTTCATGGGTACAAGCCTAGGAAACCGTTAGATCTCATCCCTATGTCCCCACAGGCTAGAGTGTCAGTATCAGCCGAAGCATTTGCACAACACCTTCGTGACTTGCATATTGAGATCAATAAACAACTTGAAACTAGTAATGCAACACATAAACTCCTAGCTGATTTACACAAACGACATATTGAGTTTAACGTTGGGGATTACGTTATGGTTTGCATTAGGCCAGAGCGGCGTCTACATGGACCCGCCACTAAATTGCAAGCTCGTAGTGCTGGTCCTTTTAAAATTTTAAAGCAGGTTGGTCCAAATGCATATATTGTTGACATTTCACCACACCTTGGTTACCACTCTACCTTCAATGTTGAGGACCTTGTAGCTTATAAAGGTCATTTCATTCCCTCAGATGATCCTCTGTCTTTTCCTATTGTGGACCTTGACCTTGATTCTTTGACCCCTTCTAACCCACTACCACCTCTCACAGCACACAAAGAAAAAATTGATGCTATTTTAGATGAAGAAACTGTGTTCACTACTGATGGAGAGGTTCAGCGCTTCCTTGTTCGTTGGGTTGGTCGACCAGATTGTGACTGTGCATGGATCTCCAGGGAGACTACAGCAATTGGACCTAGATTTGTTAGAGTTTTATCGGAGTCAGCAGGATATTCATTAGCCCAGATCGCCTCCCGTCCACCCGAGAGGAGTTGGTGAGAACACCAGATTCAGACCGCCACTGACGCATTTCTACAGACGCCGGAAGAAGCTTGCCCAGCCACTCAACCTATGGTTGGGAGATTGACGGATGCCTATGGTGATATAGCCACCCGACAGGGTCAAGTTTTCTCTCCCACCCCGGGAGAATTGATGAGGACATCCAGTTTTAATTATTTTAGCAGTTTTAATTATTTTAGTTGGATTTAGGTTATTTTAATTTTATGGACTTGTGTATTGGGCTTGGCCCTAGGTTTGCAGTATTTTCCAGTATTTAAACCTATTTTACATTGTTATTTTTCGGTTGATGAATTGATTGAATTATAAAGTTGGCTTGCAGCCGTTTTTCTCTCCTCTTCCCCACCTCTGTTCTTCTTCTTCTCTCCCCTTCCCCCATCTCTTCTTATTATAGCTATTGAATCATTTATTCTACATCAGAAGTACTCCCTCCATTTTGGATCTAATGTTGGAATATAAATTAGCTGGGAGTTGAAAATGTCTAATATACAAAAGACAGACTGAAGTCTGGCACTAGTCATTGTCATGTTTTTAAATAAAAGATGAGTAGAACAGAAGATAAAGCGATCCACCAGATGGAGAATACTGGTTGATATGAGATATCCAAAAAGAGCATTCAATTTGCACGCAGAGGGAATTGATAATATAAATAAATCAATGAAAAAAAAAAAAAAGGCATAACAGCCATGACTCAGGAATGACTACCATAAGGATATCATCAAATGAGCTCATACTCAAGTTTTCGAAGCCAGTGTATCCAGGTGCAATTAGAATGCTGATAGACCCCCCATAAGCTTCACATATGCAAGGAGAAGAAAGGAGCGGTTACAACCAACATGAGGGAACTCAGCTTCAGTTAGTTAATAGAGGGTATAATAGAGGGGAATGTAGGTAGGCTTTTACTGATTTTCAATTAGAAGGGGGAGAGAGTAGGCCTCTCTAATAGCCTCGGAATTTGTCTGTTATTTCCAAAGTTCAATCAATCATCTTCATAAACCATTTGTGATCTATCAGTGTTCTCAGCTGTTTTTCTGCAGATTTTCAGTGAAGGGAAGTCATCTATTAAGTTACAGGATCAGGGGTTCTATCAAATGCATTCAAGCTATTGCAAGCTCAGCTTCAGCTTGATACAAGCCTACATATAAACATACCTTGTGATATCTGAAGTGTGTAATGATGGCATGTAGAAATTAATAAAGCTGCAGTTAATATTTAAGACTTATTCACAATAAGTTCGAGGTCCGAGGTCCTATGTTTCATGCAATTGGGGTGGAGGGGAGGGGGATTGTCATCCCACTGAATTAATGAAAATTACTTGAAATTGATTAGTATATTCAATTACATTTACCACCTTCAAGTGACTGATGGGGAAAATATAAATCAATAACTAAAGTATAAAACTCCAAAAAGCACATCATGCTCAAAATGCTACAAGAGCAGATACCAATCTGTCCAACACAACTAAGGATTCTCAAGATGCAAGGAAACAAAACTCATTAGCAGGGAAGAATGGGGTAAAAAATTACAGACAACACCTCATACTTATTCATAAACAAGTAAAAAGGGGGACAGATATTTCCCCAATAAGGAATCTATCCACTAAATGCATGCAGTAATGGTCCATATGCATGTGAAACAGCCATAACTTTTGGGTTTTTTTCTTTTCGACTAGTCCTTTGAGCTTTTCTTTCCTCCCAATTAGGAAATATTGAGGACTGTAAAGCAACTTACCGGGATACTGAATTAGTGCCTGAGTTCCACCGTTCTTCTCAAATATTGCAATCTTTTGGACAGTACCAAATGCAGAGAATACCTGATCAAATTAGCAGTTATTTAAATGGCACAACTAATCTGACACATGGGTGTACACTATGATGCTCGGACTAGGGTACAGACATCGGTTACAAGTATGTATCTAAGTATTGGATATTTTATTTTCTAAAAAATGTATGATACGGGGACATGACTGAAAAGAATCCAAATTCAGACATGGATACGTGGGTACTTCTTTCAAGCTTCAATTTTTTTTACTAATCCAATATGTCATTTTAAATGGAACAAAAATAATTGTTCACAAATAAGGAAATGAATAGTGTATAACTGGTTAAGCAAAATAAAATTTCGGGGTTTAGCTTTCAATTATGAAAAATTAATTACTAAATGTTAGATAAAATAGAAAATGAGTAACTTAATTGCAATTTAAACTTAATGGAGTACTAAGTAGTATTATATGGAATCCATTTTCATTTTATGCATACAAAATTCTAAACCACCAATACAGAGAAGGAAAAAATGAAAAAAAAAAATGAAGAAAAGGGAAAGAAAAAGAAAGGAGGGAAAACCTAGCATTGTTGTCTTTATCTACCCTCTCATAGGCAGTGCAAGGTTTATAGAGGGTAGAAACGGGAAAGAAAAGGAAACCGGAAAAAAAAATGAAGAAGGCAGAAGAAAAAGAAAGAAGCAAAAATGGGTTAAGCGTCTGATTGAAACTTGGCGGATCCGACACATCCCATTCCCATGTCGAGTACTCTGATCATTTCGAAGAGTCCGAGCATCAGAGGGTGTACATATGAAACAAAAATTAGTGCAATCAATACCGAGTGAAGAACATCCACAGTGACTGCATATTGCATATTCTCAATGGATGCAAGAAGCACATTACTCTCAAATTCCTTTTTTATTCCATCTGGACCTACAATGGGCTGAATAAAGTGTCATGTCAACACTAGTCCTTGTCCACACAACAGAACAGGTTAACAATATTACAGTTGAGAAACACACCTGAACAATACCTTCCATCGCAGTAGGATTAACGGGAAGATAAGGATTTGTATAATCCCTGCAGGATGAAATTAAAACAAAATCCAAGTGTCAAACAAACATTTATTCGCTTGATAGTTTGAGTTCACAAGAAGTCCAAAAGCTTGACCCCTCCTACCACTTGAACTACGAGAATTTGATGGACCATAACATCAATCAGAAAGCAAATTGGTGAACAAAATATAACAACAAAATTTTTTGTGCACACTTCAACTGTTCACTGCAGTAATTAGGGTTAAGGCTAACATTTCTTGTCCAACAAGTTGAAACACGCCATCATTGATTGTTCACAAGGACTGAAATAACTGACCCTACACCCTAAAATATATTACAAGAGAAAATGAAGAAAATCTTTATAGAACCCAAAAAATATTGAAAAGACGAATTGGCTCTTTAACAGAGCATCTTCCATTTTAATTGAGTTCTACATGCGTGTAAATTTTCATCCAGAAAAATGGAAATTCCCCATGGTATATGTAAGAATTCTAAGACACAAGTTTAACGAAAATAGCTCCCAACATCATGCAGAGTCATGACCTGACCTAATAAGCCCCCCAGGTTAAGCATGAATTTGCTGCCTAGAATTCTAAACATCTGTCAGACACTCAATGTGAAATAAACTCAATATTAAAGAGATCCTTAAAAAGCAACAACTAATAAAAGAATTAACCATGTCAAAGAGCAGCGTAGTCAGAAAACCAACAGGGAATGAGAATTCAAGTTTATTGATAAGAACAGAGGAAAAATATGCCTCATTGAAGATTGAAACAAACAACCTACAGGTTGCATTAGAAAAGGGACATTGAAATTAAAGTAAGAAAGTAAAATAGTCTTTAGAAATTTGTGTGTGCTCAGTAAAACATCGAAAAACTCCAATGGAATTAGAATCTAATAAAGGTGAATCAACAAAACATGAAATGCTAATATTATAAGATGAAGAAAATTACTACGAGGCCATGAAAAAACAGATCTGTGTTATAGCTGCCGAGCTTCACTAAACCCTAAATGACAAAAAGTACAGAAGTCAATTAGCAAGACCCCATTTACCAAAATTTAGAAAAATAGAAACAAGAAAACAGGGAAAATAATGATAAAATAATACAAACAGAAAGCACAGAGATGGAAAAGTTAAAAACGTTGAGAAGTAATTCAGTAGAATACATACCTGCTTCTATGAGATTGAAACTTAATATTCAAATCGGTGTGTGCAGAGTACGAGATACGCAAATGACATTCATTAACATGTCCAGGAAGAAGGTATCTGAAATTTGAAATAGTTGAACCACATAATACACCCAAATGAGGATCCCATTGTACTAACAGCATGGATTATAGTGAGTGGATTGCAAGAAGGAGACAGACAAAAAGAGGATATCTAAACAATCAACCATGAAAAAAAGTTAGAAGATTCATGCCTGGGTATGCTCCTGCCATCCAATGACTCCCTTGCTGTAGCTGCAGTCTGAACATCACTATATTGAATTAAAGCCTGTCAACATCATCACTAGATGTCAAGATAACATACATGAAGAAAATTCAATGACAGAAATATCTTGAATGTTTTATCATGACTTTACCTGAAAACCAGCAGCCTTTTCAAAAGTAGCAATCTTGTGCACAAAACCAAAAGCTGAGAACACCTGAAATATATATAAGGAAACTTGAGAAAATTATAGTTTTTAAAAACAATAACAACAGATTAGCGAGCAAAAGAACACCCCAGTACACAAGTGCAGAAAAATGGAAGTGAGAAATAGACCTTATAAAGCAGTATGATGCACATGACAATAAATCCAGACTGTCTCCAACAAAAGATTCTAAACAAGGACCATCTGTGATTCAACCAATTTCAGTCAAAATTGATATAATCCAGTGAAGTTGTCATTTCTATGGTGAAAGTAGAAATGCATATGATAACTGATCTTTTAATAAGATTCACGGCTACCAAATTCGTCAACCATAACATATAAATGTCTAAGACCCAAAAGCATGGATACCAATATTTCTTAATGATTTTTCACAAACTGCATCACACCACATATCAATTAAGCGCACTACAGTGCAATAAGGAAACTATAGGAAGAATGGGAAACATAAAAGTTAAAGAGAAGAGAAACAAAAATTCTGTAGATAAAAATGGATATAATAAAACAAGATACATTTTTAAATTACAGTACAGTAAAAGGATACCTCCAGCTAAGATACAACCATAACATTACTTGTCCACACCAAATATATCAAGTCGATGATAAGAACTACAACGAATCATATATAGCACCTATTTGAGCCCCATTTTTGGCTAAGAATGCATTTTGGAATAATAGATTGACGGAGAATGAGTGGTTAAAAAATAAGAAAAAGTTAGGGTTAGGATGTAATATTATTTTATTGAATGATGTGTGGTTGAAACAAAAAATAGAGAAAAATGCATTTTGGAAATAATGAAGATCAAACAAGGGCTTAATTAAACACCATATAGAGACAGCAAGAAGATGAAAAATGCTCAACACCGAACTTTGATCAGATAGAAAAATAACTTTCCATCAAGAAATTGTTAATAATATCCATCAATAGAGTTATACCAAGTGAATGACATCAATGCTGACATCACCAGCTTCAACTCCCTCAATTGTAACAAGCAAGACATTGCCTGGAACATCTCCAGGACTCTTGTTGTTGACAATTTCATGTCTGTTAGAGTACTGGATATAGACAGTTTTGCCACGAACATTTGCAGGTTCTGAAGACGAAGCATAATACGTAACCATGTTAATTGCCTGATTAAGATCCACCTGAAAAGGAGATCAAATTGCAGCATTCATCAATGTAGAGCCACCAGATTATACAAAACCATATATAAAGCAAATGGTAACTGCATTTGCCTAAAAAAAAGGCGCATTTTATTAATAGAGATCAAAATCATTGTCTTCTTTTTTGTGCAATCTATTGAGAATCATTGTCACGATTTCTTCCATATTTTTTATGAATTGAAATGACCAACTTTATTTTACCACTGACAGTCTATGATTTCAATAAATAGAAAGGCTGCATAAACAAGACAAATCACGGATTTATCTGTCTGTGGTATGCATTCGAATATTCAACTAAGGAAAAAGAAAAACTTATACCCACATAACAAATACTGCAAACAGCCGATAATAAAAGATCACTTTTCCACACATTTTTCTACATCCAGTGAAATTTAAACTTTTTTTACAATAATAAAAAGCCCCTAATCCCCTACGCGTTTTCCTTTCTAATGTGTTCACCTTTGACCATTAAATTATTGAACAAAACAATTGAGGAAAAGACTTACGAATTCGACAAAAGCTTGGTTGCGATTGGCGCCGACATTGCACTTGGTATTGACAATCTTGCCGAAGGGTTTGCACAGTTCGACCAGCTCTTCTTCGGTGCACTCCCACGGGAGATTCCGCAGGTGGAGAACCTTTGACGGGGTTTGCGTGTACCGGAACTGCTGCTGTCCCGACGTCGACATCGACTTTCTTAGGCTCTGATTATTTTTTCTAATATTGGCTTGATTGCTAGCGGCGGTTATCTAGAAACAACGGAGGCCAGGCTAGGGTTTCGCCTGTCGCGCTTTGTCTAAACTCTAACGTCAAGTGGATAGAAACTGAACTGTGCTATTGATTTACCAATACGGCAATACATAAATATTTTTTTATCACTTTTTTGTTAGTGAGAACCAAGTTTCTTTTTGACAAAGAAAAGAAAAATTACTTCTTTAGATATTATTAATTTATATTTAATAAATAAGTAGTGCTACGAATGTATGATGAATGCCAACTCAACTTCTAGTATTATATCTACCCACGTTTGATCCTATTTTTGGGTGAAATATATTATAAAATAGTGATTTTGAAGAGAATTTATGGTTAAAAATAAGAAAATATTTTTAAAATACATATATAATTATTTTATAGAAAAAAAATGTATGATTGAAAATGATAATTAAAAAAATATATTCTTGAAAAAATAGCGCTCAAACAGGAGCTTAGTGAAAATGAAATAATCTACTGAAGATGTCTACCAATGATGTTCGGGAATTATTTTATATTTGAATTTTACAATTGTTTCACTAAAATAAGCCCCTGTTTGATACTCGTTAGTTTAAAACTCTTTTTTCTATATATTTATTTTCAATTACACATTCACATAATAAAATAATATGCACGTAAACATAAAATGTTATTAACCATACATTCTTCAAAAAATCACTATTCAAAACTTCATTTTACCAAACAATGATCGTCAAACACGAGTTAAGTATTTCAAGCATCTTAACCTTAAGTAAATTACATTCTACATGATGTAAAAAAATATACAAGATGTGGCTTGCAAAAAAATTAATGATGATGATATTGAGGTTGGTTTGAGTACTAAAAAGCTAGCAACTTTAAATGCATATTTTTCGCATCCGCGGTGGGGGGAAGTGTTATTTTGTTGTTTGGGGGGGGGGGGGGGGGGGGGGGGGGGAACAGAATTGAAAAATAGAAATTGTCAAAGTAAAAAGTTCATTAAAATATGTTATAAAAATTGTGTTTTTAATCAATTATTATTCAATTCTTTCATTGGGTCCTAATTGATTTTAAATAAAAGTATCATCTTATACATTTATCGAAATATTAATTTAGTACATTGACCCGAGTCAAAATCGAAACAAAGTTATTAATTTATCTAGATTTTACTGTACTGAAAACTAAATAGGACACAAGGTGAAGAAAAGAAGCATTGTTTAAAAGCGATTATTTGAAATTCATTTTTCCCTCACACTCGTTTTCTATAATACATTCTAAAAAATTGTATTTTTTATAATTTGTTTCTACTTTTTAACTACATATTATTTGAAAAATCACTTTTCAAATAATCACTTTTACTCAAGCACAAAGAATAGACTCATTTTATTTATTATATTTATGTAAAATAATATTAAGGAAATAACGACAAAAATTCTTTTGGATAATGTGAGTTGAAGGGCAAATGCATTACAATAGTGTTGATGATATGACATCCTTCGTATGTAGAGAATTTAGTGGGAAACTAATTATTTTATAATGTTAGGCGCTTCTATTAAAATCGTATCACTCTATATTCTGAACACACTAGAATCCAAGCCCGTTCGCTTTTCTCTCGTGTCTTTCATGGATCCCACTTCGTACATACGTTGTATCCTAGTTGAAAGTACACTTTATGGAATGAATCAAACATCGAGAGCCACGGTACGTGGTTTGCTATAGGGGGTGGGTAAGCTGTCATTTGCCATTTAAATATTAACAAGAAATCAAGTATGGGACGTGTTATTTATTTTTGCTTTTCTAGCAGCTCTAGTCACTACTGCTTTTGAGGACGTAGGTGCTTTAGTTGGTGCAACCCTCCTTGTAAGTGATGTTCTCAAATCATGTTGGGTCTACTTCGATGCATTCACACATTGGAGGCCAGAAATGTCTCGTGTTACCGAGATTTTTGGCAAGCTCATTATAATATGATACAAGTAGATCATACGTTGTATTGTATTATTTTGGCGTACTATAAGAGTACAATCCATGAGTATCGACAACTATTTTGTTTTTATAGGATGTTGACATGCCTTTGTAAAATGCAATTGGTCTTTTAGACACTCACATAGAAATTGGATTCAGACCTTGTTTTTCTAATGTAGGCTGTCATTGCCCTGCCCATAAAGATATAATAAAAACAAATAATAATAACTTTAAAATATGTGTCCCTCCTTCATAGACTCAATAATTGCATAAATTTTTTCAGGTCCTCATTTTTTTTAATTTGATGATTTGTCCCATTATATTACTTTGTGCAAAACTACAAAATGGTTTGTCATATCTTTATTGCATTTTGTCTAGTATGCCAAAATGAATCATAAAGGGGGTAAATACCCATATAAGTGAATTACGCATTTGTTCAATAGTGATCTTCTACGTCATTCCCTACGGGTGTTCACTAAAAAGTAATATTAGTTAATGTCACATAGGCATGTTACAAACTACTAGTGCTAGACTAATCTCATAATTTTCATTATTATTTGAAGAACTACATTGTCTATATCTTTGAACATTGAAATAATACAGTTTCGATGTCAATATTAGGTGATCCTAGACTAGAGTATATTGTTGAAATGTTGTTCAACATTCAAGAAAAAATGAAATGGGATGAATAAATATGAAGAAAAATCAAAAAAGGGTATTAAAGGCAAAACCTAGTTCTATGCTGTTGTATAGATTAATACTATGCAGTCGCATGGCCTATGGCAGGGAATTCTGGGGCCTCTTTGGGTCGTTCTATGCTATCGCATAGATTTATACTATGCAGTCGCATGGCCTATGGCAGGGAATTCTGGGGCCTCTTTGGGTCGTTCTATGCTATCGCATAGATTTATACTATGCAGTCGCATAGTTATACAAAATTGACTGTTGGAGATCGATTTCCTACCGTTGCAACTACGAATTGTGGTGGCTTTTCGATATATTTTGGCACCAATTTGTACACATTGGTAGTGGCCTATATATAGGTGATGCATTTCAAGCCAAAAATAAGTGAGAAACATTTGTGATCTATATTCATTCCATATCAAAGATCAAATTCTTGATTCACATTCATACTCTTTTATTCATTATGTTCTTAAAGTTTTGAAGGGTCGCACTTATGCTTTAGTACTAGATCTTTTACAAGGCTTGATATAATTCCACGAACGGTTTGCCAAAATCCTTAAGCATGTCAATCAATTTCGAGAGGAGGCAAATATAGTTTGAGGACAATGATTACGCATTCGAACCTTCGATCTTGTTCTTATCAAGTTTATGAGGTTAATTATTTTTGTTGTTGCATTATTGTGATATTATTCTTGTTTCTACTCCATTTCTCCCCCATATTTTCCAACAATACATGCAGTATTACAAAATTTACACACTCTTATCAAAAAAACACCATGCATTAAAAAATATGGAAACCCGTAGATCGTTATTTTTTTATTTTGGTTATCTTGCATCTGTCTCATTATACCTAAATAGCTTTCCATTATTTTCTTTATTAGCCTCTCAAAATACCTTGTGCTTAATGATCAAAGTCAAGTCTTTCATAGTAGAAGATAAAGTCTCTTCTGTTTTCAACGTCACTTTCTTGCAAAGCATATATACTAACTTCAAGAAGCAGTTATACATCAAGTCATGTTTATAATACTTAAAACCTGAATTTTCTAAACAGATTCAGGTCCAATAGTGATAAAGCGGTATTTTAGGTTTTATTTGAGGAAACAGATACATGGAGCAAAAGTAGAATTTTATTACGTGAAGATGATAGACTTATGATTTTTTTACATGACTTTTGAAAAATCAAAAGAAATTTTTGAGACCCAAAAAGTTACTTTTGAACCTGTTTGACTAATTTAATAAAGTATTTCTTCTAATTAGAGACATTTTAAATAAAGTTAATCTAATGTAGTTTTCTCTAAAAGTACTTCGAAATATGATACTCTTTTAAAAATTAGTTTTTTAATAAAAATTAAGGCAACTTTCTCCAAAAACTCTTCTATAGGAAGTTAAAGCAAAATTCATGTCAAACGGGCCCTTAAAATAGACAAACAAGCATGAGGTATATCTAAAAGGTCAAAAATAAAAATAATACCTTAATGGCCATTGGAGTTGAGTCTCTAGATAATGAATTTGGTACATAACAATAGATATAGAGTCTTGAGAAATGTGGTAAGTCCCCCTATCTTGAAGCCTAACTGATGAGATCTTCGGTGGTGGTAGAAATGGAAGACGAACATAAGAAAGATGTACTATAAATTAAACAAAGGACATGGAAATAAGTAATTACATGTGCGTGGTGCATGACTCCATAAAGATTAGCAAGTGGCATAATTATTGTCAAGGTTCTCACATAGTACAACTTCGCATAATCGAATTCGTGCTACGACAAGAGAAACAAAGTACATTATGCAATTTGGAGAAACAATGTTATAGACGATGGCCCATTTTTATACTAGTTCAGTTGCTCTACCTGACCCCACAACTATTATTAGGAAAAGCAATGTGGGACAATGTTGGAGTAGATAGATGCATATTAATGTCTAGCAAATTCTAAATCATTATGGTATTGATTACGATGACATCATTCATATGGACAAAACTAGCATATAACATTTGCTATTAACAATGTCAAAGGCCACCTTTTGGAACCTAAACTATTTGAATAAAACATAACGAATTCGATATGATCGTATGTTGAGAAATTAAACATAGAACAATGAGGAATTGAAAGGTCTATCTTATTGGAGCATAAACCATATCACGAAATCAAATCAAATTAATTCAATCCTTACAGTATGCTCTACCATCAGAAGTCATGATTGATATTAGAAAATTCGAAGGTTGCCTTGTCAATATTCAAATAGTTCATGATATATATTATTAGTTAATTCAATATTTACTTACATAGTAACATGCATCTTATTGCAAGGGTGATCTATGAAAACAAATGGAAAACTATAACAAAAGTTGGAAAATTAGCAAAAATTCAAAGATATTGTCTTTTTTTGCAATGATCAATATAGTAATAGCAAAATAACATGTACTGAACCGCTAAAGAAATTGCTTAAGCCCCTGTTTGGTTTAGATA